AAACAAAGAGAGACGCAATAAAAAAGAGATGACCACCCCCACGACAAGTCCTAGTGACGGAGAAAAAATCAGAAAAGGCAAAGAGAGAGAGACACACACACACATACGCGCCACAAGGCTGCAGCGCCCATTCCTCCTCTCCAAACGACTTTTCTGCGACACGGCATCGATCCCCCTCCCTTTTCTTTCCTTCGCGAGACTTGACGCTGCTGTTAGCGTCGCTGGGGCCGTCATATGTGACTTCAGCGCAACGTTGTCTTCATGCAAAATGGAGGAGCTGCGGTCCATGTTGTGTAACTCCCCTCCCCCCCTCCCCAACAAAGGTCTATCGTATCTCGCCCTCTGAAAGCAGAGAGAGAGGAAGAGAGGAAGTAGGAAGTGTCTGTCGGCAGCATCTCCGTGACAGAGAAGGTACACCCTTGCATAGAAAGGCGGCAGCAGAGGTTTGGGGAGTACACGTTTCCTCTACCGCTGTAGCGCGCAAAGGCGGTGAGAAAAACTCATCGCTCCGACGACAGCCTCTTGCAGAGAATGCTGATATCAAGTTCAATGAGCCTTCAGCTGCACAGCATCGCATTGCCGGCACAGGGTTGAGCACGCTGTTTCTGCTGTGTTTGCTGCCCGGATTCATAAAGGCGCTATACCCCTCAGTGGCAGTCGTAAAACACACGCCTCCCTGGACGCTGCAGCCAAACCCACCAAAGCCCATTATTCAAGGGTTGTGCATCAATGTCAATGGCAGTGGTGTAACGGCCTGTGACATCGCACGCCGCAGCAGTGGCACAGTGTATTTTGTCTGCATCTTTTCCCTCTCGCCACTGTCACTCTGCCCTGTCCACGCTGCAGCGCTCAGCGGGGCACAGGAACGGTGCAATCCCTGCCAAATCACAGGCCCCGGTGACAGCAGCAACGCAGATGATGACGCGAGGGTGACTCTTGCTGCCGGCAAGCCCTTCAAGAGACGGTCGCAGAGAGTAACAGGCTGAACCCCCTGTAACTCTCCACACCATCTAGCAAACACACTCCCCCGCAGGAACACATGGTGCAGAAGTGTTTAGCTGCGGCCGTTTTCCTTCCGCCACCTCTCTTGCGTCTGCGAAGTCCGTCGGGATTGACAGTAAGTGTATTCCCTCGTGGTGCATTGCAGAGGTGCCCGTGTGTAACTGATACGTGTGCCCGCCGCCTATGCTCCCCCCACTCTTGGGCGTTGGCGTGTTGAGGGGTTCGATCCTGTTGTAGTGAGCCGTCGTCGCCCCGTCGATGCGGCAGAGGAGCAGTCGACGATCGAAGCAGATGCGCGGCATTGGCGGCGTGGATTTCACAGGACACGAGGGGCAACCAGCCGCACAGCGGGGGGTGGAAGGAAAAGAGCAAAAAAAAAGACATTTATTCCTTTATTCCCGTTTTTTTTTTTACTTTCGTTTGTTTCCTCACATTGGAGGAGAAGCAGCGAGACAACCTCCACGCGGCCGCCTCCGCCTCGTTCCTCACGCTTGGGTAGGTAATGCGCTAACGCTACTGAGCCTTGGTTGATATGAATTCGATAAGAACTTTCGATAAACACTACGTGCACCGTTGTCACTGTTTTTCTCTTTGTTTGTTTTCCTTTACCCTCACTGTTCACTATGGGGGTGAGGGTAAGGTGTGTTGTTGCCTCGTGCCTCCGTCCCCACTGTCTTCTCCGCTGATGAAGTTCCGAGCACTGCTAGTAAACACCCTGCACCATTTTCTCAAACCAGTGTGCCCCTTCATCCTCCTCGGTGTCGCCTACAACGGCCTGGACAGCCGCCCTCCACTCGCCCAGCTCGTGGACGTGCAGGACGGAAAAAATAAATGTGCGTTCCTTTTTGTTGCCGCCGCTGCCTCCCCCGTCCGCCTGCCTGTCGCTCCTCACGTGGATCCCAAAGTTGGACGGCAGGTTGGCCTCGTTCCCGGGATCCGTCAGCTTCGCGTTGGTGAGGTCAATCACACCCTGCGGCTTTCCCCCCTTCATGTTTTCCTGCGAGTCAAAGTAGTAAAGCCTACAGTTCTTTAGCACACAGTACCGCTTTTGGTTGCTGTACGGCCAACTGGGCTGCTGTTTAAACAGAAATCCTTCCTTGTACACCTTGGCAGGGTTGACTCTCATCTTTGGGTCAGTGGAGAACGGCAACGGCGGCTGCTGCGCATCCACGTAACTCGCGCCCTTCTGCCCTACAGGGGCTGCGAGGGGTGCCACTGGCAGAGTACTCGCCACCCCGTTGCGCTTAACGGCGCCGTTCTTGCTATTCGGAGAAAGCGCCGCTGCCCCCTCGGCCGGCCTCATGAGTGGTGGCCCCTTCGCCGCCAAATTTGCGGAAGACGGCAAGTTGTCGTCTGAGTCAGACAGGTTGATGGCCGGCTTCGGCGAGAAGACTTGAGGGGCGTCGTCGAAGTCCATGTGTTCCTTCCTTCCCTCTTCCTCCTCCTCTGTCTGGCTGTGGGAGTGGCAGGTCGAGTGCCGACGCGCCGTGCGACGTTGTGGCAAAGCGGGAGAAGGACGAAGAAAACAAAAAAAAGAAGGGGGTGGGGGTGGAGGAGGTGGTGGCAAAAAGGGCGAAAGGCGAGAAACGCACACATGCCTCATCGCTCTACCTCTCGCTTCGCTCGTTATTTCTCTGCATCGCTCAGTCTCTCAGTAGTCGGTATACCGGGTGCGTGTGCGTAAATCAAACGCCAACGCCACACGTACCACCAAGGCGGGCAATGCAAACTGGTGGTGAATGCAGGAAAAAGAGAGAGAGATACATAGAAACACGACGAGGAGGAGTAGGAAACAAACAGAAAGGGCACGCAAAAGTAAACAAAACCTAAAATGGGAAAATGTAAGCGAAAAAAGTACACAAAAAAAAATGGTCCACACATCACTGCAGAAAGCAGCAAAAAAATGTGCGAGGTGTTGCATCGTCCCCAGACACTTCAAACGGGACTTCTCACCTCCCAAGCAAAAAAGGCACACATACACGCGCAAATATGCACTTCATTATAACTGGCATGCAGTGTTGGGAAAGGACAGCACCCGTTTCGCTACTCCATGCAGGTGAGAAAGCACGGCAGCTCCTCAAAGACAACGAGTGACTGCCCGGCGGCGCTGCGTCGAGTAGCAGTCGAGGCCATGTTGAATGGACGGTCACCACCATCCTCAGAGTCGTCCGTGCTATCGGCGTCACCGTCCATGTCATACGCGCCTGTCAGGGACTGGTGGAGTCTGTGTGCTTTCTGCAGCGCCTTCCACCGGTGCGCCCAGTGCCAGAGCGTCCAGGGAACGGTGGTGCCACATATCTCACGACACAAACCGGGGGTGGCACGCACTGGCCCCCGCAACACAAAAGACGTGCTGTTGCGAGGCCGCTGCAGGCCGATCAAGTCCCGAGCCTCCTTCAGCACATCTTTTATATGTGACCCGTGCAACAACTCGCTATCGGAGTAGCTGTAAAGAAGTTCCGCCTTAATGTCCTCGGCGTCGAAGATCTGCTGCCGCACTCGCGCACGTGTTTTTTTGCGAAATGCAAACAACTGTTGCATGTGCCGCACCATTGACGCAGCCCCGTCCAAGTTCCCCGTGGACTTCGCATTGCTGTCGCCGTGCTTCGCATCACCATCCTTTCCACCGCCACCCGAAGCAGAAGGGGCGAGGGCCAAAGCGCCAAGACGGCTTAGCATGGCGCAAGCCGTAGAAAATGGCCCGGCAAAACGTCCGTGGGAAAAAGGTTGGGAAGGCAACATTGTCTCGCTGTTCGCCTCCGTCCTGCTGTCATCATCCATTTGAAAGTAGAAGCGAATTTGAGTGGCGCTGAAGTACCCCAGCAACTGCATTCCTACCATACGAGGCACTAGCAAGCTTGTTGCACGTCCGCCGCTCCGCAATGGACCGCCGTCACTGCTGAGCAGCACATACGGCACCTGCTGATACGTCAACACACGAACGTCACCAATCACGGTGTCTGCCTCGGTGTTGCTGGAAGAGCAATCCTGAGACGCGGCTGAAAACAACGGCAGCGTCAGGCCTGAAAGGGCAGCAACAATGCACTCCACCGCCTCTGTGCGGGTCGCTTTTGCAAAAAGCCTTTCTGGAAAATGCAACAGAAAACACCCTTTACCCTCCTCACACGCGGCCATGCAACTAGAAGGAAGCAGTAACTCACCGCCACAATCCAGGCGTTTGGTTAGCAAAACGTCATGGGGATGGGCTTTTTCAGCTTCACTAGGCAGTAGTCCATGGTTGTTGTGTGCACCCCCGGTGTCAATGGCGGGTGGAGGGTTGTAGGGTGCGTGTCCCCGCGATCTTGTGCGTGTCCCCACGTCCTGGTACTGTTGCGTGCCTGTGTTGGGGGCGGGGCGAACCCCCTGCAGCTCCAGTGCCAGCAGAGGGAGGGCGGAGACTGGGGCTAGAGAGGCATCATCCCATGCCGATGTGCGCACCAGCCCATCCGCCTCAAAGACGTGCAATTTAAGGTGCAACTGTGGTTCAGCCAACGGAATGGAGATGACGCGCCGGTCCCGCACCTTGTCGCTTCCCGCGTATGTGCGCTGAAAGAACTCCAGGCTGTAGGAGGAGGTGTCCTTGGGCGGGTGCACCAGACGCAGGCAACCCCATGGCGCCTTGTAATTCGTCAGCTGCATCAGCCCCGTGGCCGGCAGACGCCGCCGCACGAGCTCCTCCGCTCCCATGGTGAGGCACGTGACCTCGCAAAAGATGCCCTCCTCAAGCCGCTTCACACCCACCTCCTGCATTTTTGCCTCGTCACCGTAGCAGCCAATGAGCGTCGCCGCACTTCTAACCTCGTCGCCGCTCGACAGGGCAAGTGGAATTGGGGGAAGCGGGACCTTCCGCGCTTCAGTCTCCCCGTCCCTGTTGGTGTGACTCGCCGCCTGCTTCTTTAACGTTTCAAAGGTGTCCAGCAACGTCTTGACGTTGCGGGCGACGGAATATGTGGGGAACGCGGCATCCCGTGCCGCCTCCGACGTCAAGCCATTCGCCTCCAAAACCCAGCACAGGGACTGGGGACGCAGCAGAATGCCCTCCAACATTTCCAGATCGATGCTGATGGCCAGCAGTAGCTCCTGCCGCATGACACGGGCCCAGAGTCCCTCCCAGATCCCGTCTCCCCGCACAAAGCACGTTGTCTCCTTCCGTAGCAGTGACATCTCCTTTGAGAGAAGATGCTGTTGGTGGAAAATTTCCCCCATCTCCCTATCCATGTGGCCATCCACAGAGAGCCTCGCACTACTTCCGCCTCCCTCCGCCCCAACCCTTTGCGCCTTCTGCAACTGTTCATCCAGGCAACGCTCCAAGTCGGTTTGCAAGGAAAGGCGTTGGTTGATAGCGCGCATTCCCTCTCTTAGTAGCAGCTTCTCCCTCGCGTAGTTAGTCATCTCTGCTGCAAGTTCCTTCATGCGTTGCTTGATGGCCATGGCATGCTCGTCGCGCAGCACCGGTTGACTGTTCTCCACTGCAAGTCGTGCATTGAGGGCCTCCAACTGCTCAATGGACGCCCTTAAATTTTCAATATCCTGCTCTTTGCTGCGTCGCGCGCTCTCCACGTAGAAGTTCCACTCACGCTCAATCTCAGCGGCGGCCTCCTGAAGACGCTTGTCCTCCATCGCCCGGTATCGGTGCAGCTGCCGCTCCACAAGAGTCTCAATAACTAGCCTGCGCCTCTCGCATGGCGACAATTCCCGGCCTGGGGACCGCGTTCCTGCAGGGTTTGCTGCGGGTGACAGGAACTCCTGCTGTGAGAGGTCGTGCGCGTCACGACTGAGATACGCAAGCCGCATCTCCGCACACAGCTGGGCGTACTCCACCTCCGTCCGGCGGTAGGCCTCCATGTGCCCCTCCGCATGCGGATCTCGCAAGTCCTCGAGCAATAACACCACCTCCGGTGTTGCGTTTAACATACTGTGGGTTTGCACGTTTGTGTGACGCACTTGTTCTGCAAACTTGAGGCTACGTAGCGTCTCCTCTGCGGAGCACGGTGTTGCATGCACAAGAATCAGCACATGCCCTGACTCCAGGCATGGCCGTAGCAAACGCGTGAGCTTTGAGTCCCGGTACGGCACATGACTGGACCGTCGATACAACGCTAGAATTACGGCTGAAAGGGCGGAGAGAGACTTGTTGATGCACTGCGCCTCGCGGAGTGCGGCTCCCTCCACCTTTGTCTCCTTCACCCGCTCGGACCCAGCGAGATCGACCATCGCCACGTACGAGTAGACGCTCTGCATCACAGCCTCACCGCCTGCCTGCCGCAAGTCCGCCAAATCAAACTGCAGCTGCAGAATGAAGACGGCATGGGAACGCGAGCTCGTGTCGTTGCGCTGGTGGCCCTTCGTCACCCGATTGCGAGACGCCAGCTTGTAGCAGCGATGAAAGTCGTCTACGGACGACACCGCCACCCCACCGCCACGAAAAGGGCTGCTACCGGCGCCGCCGCCCCCACCATTAAACCGTTTCCCTCCACTGCTTGCTGCGAATGCGCTGGGATTGTTCATCTTTTGGCAGAATGCGTCAAGGCCGCCAATGTCGCCGACGTTTGGAATTACTCTTTTACCGGGATCCAGTAAATCGTGAAACTCGTCCATGTACAGCTCCACCCCGTACAAGGTTAGCCCCCGCAGCGTTAGGGAGGCGCCACAGCCCCGTCTCTGCCTGTCCTGGTTTCTATCCCTTCCACTGCTGGGCCGAGCACCGGAGGAGGCTTTAACTGAGGGTTCCTCCTGCTCAAGCACAATCGTTTCCCCGCGGCGTTCCAGCAAAATGAGTACCAAGCGCGGCAGCAAACCCACTGACTCGTTCACTTCGTCCGCCACGAGCAAAGAGTCCGCCAGACCGCTACTAAGGCCAGTGAGGCTCATCTCGTTTCTAGTAGCAGCGTTGGTATCTATGTACTGTGGAAATTCCAGGTCGAACGGAGACGCACCCGATGACAATGAGCTTCCCACAATCTCCCTGAGACCAATTCCATGTCCTGGACTCTGCCAGCCTTTCTGTTCTTGTTCTTCCTCTTGTTGCTGCTGCTTTGCCTCGTCTCTCTCCACCGCCGGGGGTGTTGTTGTCACTGGTGCTGGTGCTTCTGTTAGTACCATCGTCGTCGACGCCAGTACAGCTGACTCCGAGGTATTGGTGGTGCTTGTTATGCTGCTGCTTCTGCGGCTGTTCGAGAGCCGCTCATGAGCGGTGCCAATTCTGCTTCGGCCGCAGCTATCAATGAGTTGCCGGTTCTTGAAAAGGGATGTATTATGTAATGCTGGTATAATTGGGCCTCGCTTCTTCAACACAGGACTGCGTGTGGGCCCCATCATGCTATGCGTCTTGCCACTCCCTGTGGGGCCGTAGCAGACAATGGCGACGCTTTGTGCCAAAAGTGCCATGTCAACAAAATCCAGCACGCTTTCCTCGAAGACCTCATCCTGATTCGCGTCCTCGCCGTGAATAAAGTCAAAGCTAAAGTGCTCCTCCCGCCTAATGTGCCCAGGTGGATTGGGTGATACGGTGCCCTGAGTGGTTGGTGTGGGAGGCCTAGGTCCCCTCCGTGGGGTAGCAGTAGACGTGCGGCGAGGGCACGAGACGTCTCTGCGGTGTTTCCGCGGTGTTTGCTTGCCGAACGGCGTATTGTGGCACTGCAACTCACCCCACCGCACAGGGGACGGAGAATCGTGATACATCAGCGAAGATATGAACGGCGACTGTGGCGCACTGTTGGGTTCACCGTGGCCGTAGACTGGTGACGCAGTGTGACGGCGAGCCGACGCCACCTTACTGGAGCGCACCACGATGTTCTGGTGGTCGAGGCACCACACATGCCTGTGCTCCTTCCGCTCCCCCAAGTACGGCAGGATGGGTCTAACGCGGATGTGAACAACAGGCAGGACCACGCGGCGCCGTGAGGTTAAGTGTGCTTTATTCGGCGAAGACAACACCCCGGAGCGCTCGCCAGCGAAACCTGACGGCTCGTCTAAAAGGGCCCCACCCCCTGCGTCATCTGCATACATATAACAAAGAGAGAGAGAGAAGAAAAAAAAAGAATTTAAGTGTGTTTCTTCCTTTTCCCTTTTCTTTTTGTTGTAATTTATTGCTTGTCTTGGCGTCTTCGCTTTGCTGCAGAGCGGCCCACACCCCTCCTCTGCCAGACCCTTTTTCTCCCTTCCTCCGCCCTCGCGTGCAGCTTGGCTTTACCCCCTGCCTTTGCTTACCTAAACCCCTTCCTTCGTTCCTTCTTCCTTCTCTGCGTCCTACGCCTTGCACACGCACAGACACAAAAGCGAATGAGGGAAAAGCAGAGCGGGGGTGATAAAGTAGGGCACAGCAACACGCGCACGCAGAGAGGGGTGTGGAGAGGCGGGAAAGACACGGTCCCGCGGCAAAGACGCACAAAAATACACAAGCATTTTTATAAAAAAAGCGACATACCGGAATTCCATCTTGTTAGTTTCACGGCAGTCCAGCACATCGTCACGGAGGTGCCCCCCGCCCACTTTCTGCGTCGTGTGTCTGTGTGCGGCAGGAAGGGGCGTGCGACGGTGGTGGCAAAACAGAGAGGCCTTCAAAAAGCAAAAACGGCAAGAGCAAGCCAGCGCGAGAGGGACTGTGTGGCGGCAGGCGCGCCGGCTTCCTCGTCCTGTCGCTGCGTCTAACAGCGCTCGAACACCTTGTAGAGTTCCTCCACTGACACCACTGCCTGCAGCGTTCCATCAATCAATGCATCGGCTGGCGGAAGAAAGAACTTTGGGCTCGTCGCACACGGCAACAGCGCAAAACGAATGGCGTCCACAAGCGACGGCACACCGTTTTCGTCTTTTGCGTCTCCAGAAGCCGTGTCACTCGATGACGGGGCCACACGCGACTCCAGCCAGGTGTCATGCAGACGTAGCCCGTACAACGTGTCCGCAATGTGGCGGGCGATGGCGGTAAAGCAGGCCAATTCGTCCTCTCGGTACGGGACCTCCGCAGCCAGTCGCCAGAGAAAGAGCGGTACAACCCGCGGCGGGGGCGGCCATGAGGCATTCAACCCAAACGGCAACGCCAAGAGATAACCGTCGTGTGTGATTTCAATAGCAAAGTACTCCAGCAGCATGCACCGCCACTGGCGGAGGCATCGGTCCATTCGGCGCACAGTGCGTTGCATGCCCTCGACGGAAGCAATCTCCGCGCTGGGGGGAACGTCGTGTTGAAGGGCAAAACCCAAAAGGTCTGTCACCTTCACAGGTTCCTGCAGAAGCAGCTGCGGCGGCGCTGGAAGCGACGCCACAGACCACCGCATAAAGATTCGCTGGTAGACGACAAGACGAACCAGGCGCAGCGTTTCCACCGCATAGAGGGTTGTGCCAGCCTGCGCCAGAAACATGTGGCCGTTAATCACGCCCACGTAAGCCAGCTTCTCAAAAAGCGACTGGACAGTGGGAGAAGTTGCCTGACGAATGTGTAAAATAATGCTTGACACACTCGTGAGAAGCAAAGCCTCTCCTCCATCAGACATGGACTCCACCGCTGCTTCGTTTGCAGTTAATGCCTCTGGTGCCCGCGTCCCGCTCACACCCTTCTTTTCTTCTTCCTCAGCGGTGTCCGCGGCCGTCTCCATGCCAGCCGCTTTCTGAATTTCTTTCCGCTGACGCTTAAATTGCTGCATGACATAGCCCAAGTCGTCGTCTTCTTCGTCCTCTCCCTCCCCCTTTTCATCCTTCAGTCTCCTTGTTAACTCTCCCATGTCTCTGTCAGTGGTCTCCGTTAAGTCAGCGTGCGCGATCGATGTGAGAAGAGGCGCGCTAACACCTTCGCCCTGTGCCTGCGCGGCATGTTGCTCCTCGTGTAAGACAATTTCCTTCGGCTCCCCCGCAGCCAGGGGGCCCGAATGACTACAGGTCTCCGGCCGAGGCTGCCACCCATCATTGTCCAATGATGGCTCGCCTGTCCCTTCTTTATCTGCCGCCGACATGCGCCGGCAATAGACGTCAAGTGCTCCACGCTGCGGCTCCACCCGCACGACAGTGCAAGGCGCCGGTGCCACCCCAGCGACTACGCGTGAGGAGGATGACAACGCGGATGAGAGCGAAAGCGGCAAATGCGCTCCTCTGTCACACAGCGCAGCCGCCTTGGAGAGCATATGGCGGGTGTCCAGCTGACGACGAGTGGCTGACTCCATCACGGCAAACCGGACACTCTCCGACAACTGCGCAACAATAATTTCCTCGTCAAGGAGACAGACCTCATGCTTAGTAGGATGTATGTTCACATCCACGCGGTCTGGGGGTATGGTAATGAAGAGCACCGTAAAGGGACGGTTACCGCCCGTCAGGACGCCGCTATAGACCGTGTCCACCGCTCGCTTGATGGTGACGTTCTCCACTAACCGGTTGTTGACAAACACACAGAGATACGGGCTGCGGTTAAGCAGCGCCATGCCACTGGTGTAGCCGGTTATGAGGAAACGATTCTCTCCTGCATTCCCTCGTGTTGCCAGAACTGTCTCCGCAGAGCAACTGTCAGCGCTGGCACCACCGCACTTCAGCTCATGTAAGTGGGATGCAATTACTGGGCCATGAAAGAGGCGGATGTTCGCAAGTGTGGTGGAATCCCTGGGGGAAAAAAAATCGGCCTTTCCCCCGTTCCCCTCCTCCCGGCGGCACGAAAACGCAACGTGCGGAAAGGCCAGGGCGTACCGTGCAACGACGGCCACAATGCGGCCGTACTCCTCCGAGGGGCGGTTGAGCGCTCGACGACGCACGGCGGAATTGTAAAACATCCTCTCCACGCGGATGCTGGTGCCGGGGTTGCCGGCGCACGGCGTTGGCTCACCCTGCATCACGCCATCCAGATATTGACACCGCCACGCAAGCGTTCCAGGTGGTGCCTCCTCGTTGCCCGCTCGGCGCAGCGTCGTCACCGTCACCCTGGCAACGTACGAGATGGAGCACAACGCCTCCCCGCGGAACCCAAAGGACGCTATGCAACTCAGCTCGTCAGAGGACCGCAGTTTACTGGTGGCGTATCGCTCGCACAACAGCGGCAGGTCATCGCGGTGAATGCCGTGGCCGTCGTCCGTCACCTGCAACACCCCTAGCCCGCCATCGTGCACGAGAACCTGGATGAAGGTTCCTCCAGCGTCCAAGGCATTTTCCAGCAGTTCCTTTAGCGCTGCACTCGGGCGCTGCACCACCTCACCGGCAGCAATCCGGTTGATGACATTTTCAGGAAGCCGCTCAATGTGCCGCATTTAGCCCCCTCCCACAACCCCCCCCCCCACCTGTCCCTCCTTCCCTGGGGAGACACCCTGATAGCGAACAGAAAAACACGAGTAAAAACAAACCAAAACAATGAAAGAGGCAAGTAAACGCACCCCGCAGAAAAATCCACCCAGCTACCCACCACGGGGCCACCGCACAAGGCAACACGGCTGCAATTGCGTTTAAGGCGCACGTTAAACATTCATACGACCAGGTATATGTAAACACAGACGCCTAAAACACGCACACGCGGCAAACGGTCCAAAGATGTGGACCCACTGAGCCCTCCCGCCATCACATCCTGTCACGGATGCCCCTCCCTCCCCCCTCCACCCCACCTTTCACCACACACAAAAAACAAAAAGCAAAACAAAAAAAACGTGCCATTCACACGCTGCTCTCCTACTCAAGGTTCTCCAGCTACGCTTTCCCATACTTGCATTGCATGCGAGCACGGTGAGTTAAAAACTCGTGAAGGTCAATTACACCGTTTCCATCCGTGTCAATACTTCGGAACAGGCACCTCCCGGCGTCCATGTTAGCCACTTCCCCCAAACTCAGAGCAAGCCGTGCAAACTCGTCCATGCTCAGCAACCCATTCCTGTCGTTGTCGTACATGCGAAACTGCATCATGATGGTGTTGTAATCGGACTGTGAGAGCCCGTAAAGGGCGTTGGGATCGGGCCGGTTCTGAGACAACCACCTGAGGAACTCACTGAGGGAAAGAGTACCGCTACGATCCGTGTCCATTTCTCTGAACATGCGATCAATATCGCGGTCGCTTCGGGCAAAGTTGAGCCATCTCGCTAAGCGGCCAATCTCACGACGGTCCAGCCCACCGTTGTCGTCAGTGTCGAAAAAGATAAACAACGCCATGATCTGGTCGTACTCCTCACGCGACAGGCCAAACTGGTGCCACGGCTCCTGCCC